TCTGCTGATATTGCTAAGGATCCCTTGTATATGATGACTCACTTCTCTCTTCCTGCTCTTAAGATTCTTTATCTTTGGCTTTTGAAAATATGATTATAATATGTCTCAGTATGGATGCTTTATCTGACATTGAGTTCATTAAGCTTCTTTGATTTGTAGATTCATGTCCTTTGTTAAATTTGGAATGTTTTCAGCCGTTATTTCTTCAGATAGTCTTTCTGCACCTTTTCTCTCTATTCTCCTCCTGGGATTCTCACAATGCATATATTTGTCCATTTGATGATGTACCAGAAGTCCCTTAGGTTCTGTTTACTTTTTCTCATTTGTTTTCTTTCTGTTCCCCAGACTATATAATTTCAGTTTCCTATATTTGGGTTTGTTAATTCTTTTTCTACCTACTTAATTCTGCTTTTGAGCCCTATGTATGTATTTTCCATTTCAGCTATTATTTAAGCTCCAGACTTTCTTTTTGGTTCCTTTTCATGATTTCTCTTTATTAATATTCTCATTTGTTTATATGTCATTTCCCTGTCTATATCCATGTGTTCTCTTAGCTCTTTTAGCATCTTAAGACAGTTGTTTTCAAGTCTTTATCTAGTAAATTTGATATCTATACTTTCTGAGGAACATATTATGTCCATTTCTTGTGTTTCTTTGAATGTGTAATACTTTCCTCTTTCTTTGTATGCCTCGTGTGGTTTTTTTTTTGTTGTTGTTGTTGTTGTTGTTTTCTTAAAAATGGAACATTTGATTCTTACAATGTGGTGATTTTGGAAATCAGATTCTCCCCTTTCCCCAGTGTTTGCTGTTGCACAGTGTCTTTGTGCTATAGATCAGACTGAGGAGAAAGCTTCAGACTCGGGTTTTTTGTGAGGTTACATCTTATCCTGAGCAAGGATACATTTTTTAATGTAAAAACAGAAACAACCCCACAGTGCTTATCCTTTATATCCTTTTTATCCCCCCCACCTTTTGCTGGTGGGGATTTGAACAGTGGCAGCCAGCTTCTAATTTCACGTCAGCCATGAGAAACTGCAGTCCATAATCAGAACACAGATCCTGATATTTCAAGGACAAGGTTCTTATTGTCCACTCTGATTCCAGCAAGCTGCACCAAAACCACAGATTGCTCTCCCTGTGGGTTCCTTTCACGGGGCTGGGAGGTAGGGGCTAAGTAGCCACTATTGTGCTGAAAGCTGAAATTGGCCAATATAAACCACATTTTGCCACTCAGGCCTTGGCCTGGAACCTCTAAGCATTCAAATAGATTCAGAGTTCCAAATAGTTATTAAAAAGATATATTCTAGGGGCTCCTGAGTGGCTCAGTCAGTGAGGCCTCCCCTCTTGATCTCAGCTCAGGTCTTGATCTCGGGACTGTGAGTGCAACCCCTGTGTCGGGCTCCACCCTGGGCATGGAGCCTAATTTTTAAAAAAGAAAGAGAGAGATTCTAGGTTCTAGTATAATTGTTGTCTAGGTGAAGAGATGAATGTCTGGCACTTCCTACTCTGTCATCATCCCTGATGTCATACCTCAATTATTAACAATTTAAAGAACCTTATCATCTATGTCCTGTTGAGTTTGTCATTAGGGCCCACTTCAAATATTATTTTTGTCTCCCCACTATCACCCCATACTAGATTTTAAACACCTTAAGGACAGGGATGGGGCCAGTTTTTCAAAGTGGCTACACCATTGTATATTTCCACACCAATGTATGCATTTTCATTCTTCCACATTCTCATCAATACTTGTTACTCTCTGTCTTTTTTATTTTCTCTATCCTAAAGAGTAGTAGTATATCATTGTGATTTTTATTTGGATTTTCCTAACACTAATGATGTTGACCATCTTTATGTATTTATGGCCATTTGTATATCTTCTTTGGAGAATTGTCTATTCAAATACTTCACCTACTTTTTAATTAGGTTTACCGTTTCTACTATTGAGTTGTGCTTTTCAAATATATTCTAGACACAAATCTCATCATATATGGGATTTGCAAAACTTTTCTTCCATTCTTTATCTTTTTACTTCTTGAGAGTGTCTTTCAAAGCATAAAGTTTTCAATTTTAGTACTTTACAATTAATCTTTTTTTCTTTTATTACTTGTGTAATATCTAAGAAATGATTGCTTAACCCAACATCATGAAGATTTATTCCTGGGGTGCCTGGGTGGCTCAGTCATTTAAGCATTTGCCTTTGGCTCAGGTCATGATCCTGGGGTTGGGGAATTGAGCCCTGAATTGGGCTTCCGGCTCAGCAGGGAGTGTTCTCCCTTTCCCTCTGCCCCTCCCCCTCCTACTCATGTACTCTCTCTTGCATACACGTGTTCTTTCTCTCTCTCTCAAATAAATAAGTAAATTCTTTTTAAAAAATTTATTCCTGCATTTTCTTCTAAGAAATTATAGGTTTGTGTATTTCATTTAGGTCTATTGTCCATTTTGAGTTAATTGTATATGGTATGGGGTAGAGCTCCAACTTCAGTCTTTTGCATGAAGATATAAATACAGTTGTCCTAGCACTGTTTGTCCTAACACTGTTCTGTTCCCTATGATTTATCTTGGTACCATTGTCAAAAATCATTTGACCATAAATGTATGGATTTATTTTCAGACTCTACCTTTGATCTATATGTCTATTCTTATGCAGTAACACACTGTCTTGATTATTGCAGCTTTTGTTTTTTGGGTTGTTTTTTTTTTTTTTTCATATTGGTTTTACAGTAGTTTTGAAATCAGGAAGTACAAGTCCTCCAACTTTATTCTTCTTTTTCAAGATTTTTTGGCTATGCTGGGTCTTTCACATTTCCATATGAATTATAGAATTAGCTTGTCAGTTTCTGTAATAAAGCAAGGTAGGATTTTAATAGGAATTGTATTGAATCTGTAGATCAATTTGAGGGAGTATTGGTATCTTAATAATATTAAGTTTTCCAATCCATGAACATGGGATGTCTTTCCATTTATATTCTTTCAATGATATTTTGTAATTTTTTATTGTATAAGTCTTACACTACTTTTGTTAAATATATTCCTATATCTGTTCTTTTTGATGCTATTATAAATGTAATTGTTTTCTTAATTTTATTTTCAGATTATTTGTTGCTAATGAATAGAAATTCTGTTGATTTTTGTATATTAATCTTGTATCCTGCAACCTTTCTGAATGTAATTGTTGCAGTAGTTTAAGTGGATTCCTTAGATTTTTCTGTATACAAGATTTGTATACGAGATCATGTCATCTGAAAATAAAAATAGCTTAACTTCTTCCTGTCTGATCTGAATGCTTTTATTTCTTTTTCTTGCCTAATTGCCCTGGCTAGAATCTCCAGTATGGTGCTAAATAGAAGTGATGAAAATAGCATTTTTTGTCTTGTGCCTGATCTTAGCAGGCACTGCTAAGTGCCTCTTTCATCGTTAAGTATGAAACTAGCTGCGGGTTTTTTGTAAATGCCTTCTGTCAGGTTGAGGAAGTGTCTACCTATTCCTAGTTTGTTGAGTGTTTTTATCATGTATGTATGGTGGATTTTGTCAGATACTTTTTGTGTGTTGATTGAGATGATCATTTGGTTTTTGCTTTTCATTCTATTGATATGATGTGTTACATAATTGAATTTTTGGATATTAAAACAACCTTGCATTTCTAGGTAAGTCCTGCCTAATTTTGTTACATGGTGTTTATTATATGTTGCTGGATTTTTTTTTGTAGTATTTTGTGGAATATTTTTGTACCTATATTCATAAGGGATATTGGTCTATAGTTTTCTTGTGATGTCTTTGTCTAGTTTTGATATCAGAGTAATACTTAAGGAAGTGTTCCCTCCTCTTCTGTTTTTTTTGAAAGAGTTTGTGAAGGATTATTTATAAGTATTCTTTAAACATTTGATAAAATTACCAATAACCCATCTTAACTACACTTTTTGGGGGGAGTTTTAAATTACTTATTCAGTCTATTTACTGTTATAGATATATTCAGATTTTCTCTTCTTGAGTCAGTTTAGGTAATTTGTGTGTTTCAAGGAATTTGTCCATTTCTTTTAGGTTATCTAATTTGTGGCATACTATTGTTTATAGTGTCCTCTTACTGCCTTTTTTATTTCTTTAAGGTCAGTGGTGGTGTTTCCTCTTTCATTCCTAATTTTAGTAATTTGAGTCTTCTCTCTTTTTTTCTTGGTCCGTCTAGGTTTGTCAATTTGTTGATCTTTTCAATGAACAACTTTGATTTTATTGGTTTCCTCTATCGTTTTCATTGTTTCTGTCTATCTCCTATCTAATCTTTATTATTTCCTTTCTTTTGCTTCCTTCATGTTTAATATGCTCTTCTTTTTCTACCTTTTTAAGGTAGAAAGTTAGGTTATTGATTTGACATCTCCTCTTCTTTCTTTCTTTTCTTTTTTTTTTTTTTTTCTTAGATTTTATTCATTTGACAGAGAGAAACACAGTGAAAGAGGGAACACAGCAGGGGGAGTGGGAGAGAGAAGCAGGCTTCCTTCTGAGCAGGGAGCCCAATGTAGGGCTTGATCCCAGGACCCTGGTTGAAAGTAGATGCTTACCGACTGAGCCACCCAGGTGCCCCGACATCTCCTTTTCTAATATATCTTTTGGGGTCATAAATTTCTTTCTGGCACTGCTTTAAGTTGCAGCCCATAATTTTGGTCTGTTGTGTTTTCATTTTCATGCAACTCAAAGTATTTTTTTAATTTCCCTGTATTTCTTTTTTGACCAATTGGTTATTTAGGAATATGTTGTTTAATTTCCATATTTTTGAATTTCCCAAATTTTTGTCTGTTAATTTCTAATTTAATTCTGTTGTGGTTGGATAGCATTCTTTGGATGCTTTCAGTCCTTTTAAGTTTATTGAGGCTGATTTTATGGCCTGACATATGGTCTATCCTGGAGGATGTTCCATGTGCACTTGAGAAGGGTATGTATTCTGCTGTTAGGATGGAATGTTCTGTAGATGTCTTGATAGGTCTAGTTGGCTTATAGGGTTGTTCAAGTCTTCTGTTTTTTTTTCCCCAAAGGTGAGACATGGAACCCCTTCAAATTACAGTACCAGCTGAGAAATGTAAGAGAGCGAATTGCAAAGAACCTAGTAGAAAAGGGTATTCTAACCACTGAGAAGCAGAATTTCCTCCTATTTGACATGACTACTCATCCAGTGACCAATACAACAGAGAAACAGCGACTAGTGAAAAAACTTCAAGATAGTGTCCTAGAGCGGTGGGTAAATGACCCTCAGCGTATGGACAAGCGAACACTAGCACTCCTGGTGCTAGCCCACTCCTCTGACGTGCTAGAGAATGTCTTCTCCTCTCTGACAGATGACAAGTATGATGTGGCAATGAATCGAGCCAAGGACCTAGTAGAACTGGACCCTGAAGTGGAGGGGACAAAGCACAGTGCCACAGAGATGATCTGGGCTGTGCTGGCAGCCTTTAATAAATCCTAAAGCCAGTGGATGGGTTTCTTTTTCCCCTGCTGGCTGGTGACTGTCAGAGACACCACACTGAGTTTTGTGTGATGAGATGTTTTTCATCATTTCTTTTTTCCTTCTCTTGAATCAGACTTGTGATTTGGGGATAGCAGCTTCAGCGCTTCTCCATAAACTTTAGCCATTGTAAACATACTTTATTTCTCCTTATTTTTCCACTACAGAGGTGAATAAACTAGGTCAATCCACATATATCCAATAATCATTTTCTCTCATTTCTTGGTTTACTTCCATCAGTATGCTTTTGGATAAGCAGGAATATCTAAGTGGGATTTGGGAGTTCTCCAGTCAGAAAATGTGAATGAGATCTAGAGCAAACCATTTATTAAATCTTTTAAAGTTTGTTAAAAAAAAAAAAAAAAAAAAAAAGTTTGTTTTCTATCCTTTTTTTTTTTTTTCTTTTAAAGTAGACTCCATGCCCAATGTGGGGCTTACTCATGACCCTGAGATTAAGAGTCACATACTCTACCAACTGAGCCAGCCAGGCGCCCCTGATTTCTACCTTAAATACATGTTTTCACAGCCTTTGTCTCTCAGGTTCTATTAAGTAATGTAGTTATTGTAATAACTGTCTCTTTGAATAAGGGGCAGTGGAGATAATAGTAATATTTGGAGCAGCTGGTCTCTGGGATTGTATGTCCCACTAATGATTTTTTCATTTTTCCTTTTCTAACCTAATGAGAATATTGCAAATTTGATTGCCTGTTCTCACAGCCTAGAATCAGAAATATATTCTATATTCTCTCTTAGCATTATCCTACCACCTCATTCATTAGGACAAAGTCTGAATAATAATAAAAAAAATGTATCTCTCATGTCCATGTATCTCATGTCCTTCAGTCAGCAGTAGGGTTTACGAGGGAGGCAGCATGAGAATTTCCACCCATTAGCACATGACTGTCCTGATTCCTCCAGATTACTCTACATGTCTCTGACTGAATTGAGGAAGTTATAAATTTCAGTTGCTGAATAGCAGCATCCGAGTCCAGAAACTCCATCTAAATTCAAGATGTTCTTGTTCCCTATTTTCAACTTACTTTGTAAACTGATAGATTCTGTCTATATTTAAGCGTCCTAAGAGTATTTTTGTCCATATATAATCCACAGTTATCCTCCTAGTTGTTAGTCTTGTTTCAACACAGCCATCTATCTACCCAAATCTCTAAAAAGTTTCAATTTTTTCAATTCAGTGGTGAGTGCAAAGAGAAGATGAAGACAGATCCTATTGGAAGAGTAATTTGGTGTCAAAAGCTTGCGGATGCAACGTCCTAGTGTTTGGAAAGCATTTATTAAGCTAAATTTTTTTAATGAATCATGCCTCTTGACCATTACATAGAAACAGATTGTCAGAGGGCTAATACAGCCAACCCAGACCTGATATCAGATCTTCAGTAATTGAATGAATGATTGTAACTTTCATCTCCCCTAAACTTGTTTAGCCCCACAGAATTCCCCAACTCAATTAACTCAATTAAGTTTGTCACTTCAGGTATTGCTTATGTGACTAGAGATACAAATTTTAGTGTGAAATGAATTCTAAATGTGAGCCTGAGTAGAGTTTCCATGTGGTTCTTTGAAAGTACAAAAAGCAGTCCAAGTATTGTATCTACCTGACTTAGTTTTCCTTTCCATTTGAACAATTCAGCACGAATTGAAACCAGGTTTTCCTGTGGAAAGTATCAGCTTGATTGGGGGGGTGGGGAGTAGAAGTTGAGTTGAGTTCTTTCTTGCAACTCTTGGTCAGTGTTTATTTTTATATTGTATCTCAATGAGGATATCTTCAGTTTGAATCTGTATTCACTGCAAAACACCTTCTCCTTTAATGCATATGGCCTTCACATTTCTATATAATAAATATCAATTATTGGTTCTCTGGTTGTACTACTTCAGTCATTTTTTTTTTTTTTACTTCAGTCATTTTAATTGGAAATAAGAACATTCCACACAAGGCCAGTAACACTATCCCTTTACACCAGGAGACCATCCTGTTTCATCCTGTTTAGAAAATTAGGAATACACAAATAGAGTTGTAACATATATAGGCTGGGGGGCAGGGCACATCAAGGCTAATCTGAAGAGCAGCTAATGTTGTAGTCTGAATAGTGTCTTCTTCTCAATCAAAATAATTTACCCAATTATAACATTATTATCATGAAGAAAAGAAGTATGTTTTACTTGCAAGTGATACCTAAGCTCACCTAAGAGCTGGAAGTCTTAAATTAGCAACACAGGTAACATACCTCACTGTGACAGAGTTAACAGTATGGTGTCTCTCCCAATTAGATGGAGCCCCCGAATGTGAGGCAGCCTAATAGGGTGGAATCTGGGGTTGCATGTGGTGAAAGGATTTCACCTGAAGCAGAACAAAGGAGATAGAAGTTTACTGAATACACTGCAAGGGAGTGGTGGGCAGGACAACAAAGCAGAGACTGTGGGGACTGTATTTAAAGGGAGAAGGTGAGGGGGTATGGATATAGGGAATTTTCCCTTTTTAGGTAATTGTGCCTGGTTGTAAGTAGCCCATTGGTTAGCTAGGGCCTTTGGATATTTTGAGGTGGCTCACCTGAGATGGGCCTGTCTGTATTCAGGGGGTAATGGTGGGCCATTCTGCCTTGCTCAAATTTCCATTGCTCAAGCCTGTTGCCTAAAAGTGGCATCTACAAAAAGCTAATTGTGCTTGTGGGGTGCCTGGGTGGCTCAGTGGGTTAAGCCTCTGCCTTCGGCTCAGGTCATGATCTCAGGGTCCTGGGATCGAATCCCGCATCGGGCTCTCTGCTCGGCAGGGAGCCTGCTTCCTCCTCTCTCTCTCTCTCTCTCTCTGCCTGCCTCTCTGCCTACTTGTGATCTCTCTCTCTGTCAAATAAATAAATAAAATCCTTAAAAAAAAAAAAGATAATCGTGCTTATAATTGGCTTATTGTTCTTCCCTTCTTTATAATGTCTACAGCACAGGGGACAGTAAGAAATATATTTACTAGAATTGTTTATACTTGTTTATTTTATTTCAAACAAAGCATTGTTACCTTTATGTAATGTTTTTCAAAATGTGGTGCAAAGAGTACTGTACCAAAATCACCTTGGGGTGAGGCTTACCTTGCTAATATTTAGCAGGTTTGTAGTAAATCCATCTCTGGTAGGTTACGGGCTTAGGAAGCTGCATTTTAAACACGGTCTCCAAAAGCTGCATGTTAAATTTTGAGACCACTGCTTGATATTTTATTGCTGTAATTCATTCATCCCCAAAATATTGAGTACTTACAAATTTGGCATTTAAAATTGCCAATAACTGGCACTTGCTAGGTGTTGACAATAAAAAGTTGTATAGGACACAATTTCACCTCCAAAAACTCACATTAAAGTAGACAAATAGGAAACTTTTTGATTAGTGCTCTAATAGAAACTTAATACTTGTTGTGTTTTTTAAGATTTTTTTATTTGACAGCATAAGAAAGAGGAGAGGCGGGCAGAGGGAGGGGGAGAAGAAGCCCGGTGTGGGACTTGATCCCAGGACACAGGTATCACGACTGGAGCCAAAGGCAGACACCCAACCAACTGAGCCACCCAGGCACCCCAAATCTTAATATTTGGACACACAAAGAAAGAAGTGACCTTCTTCCTGGGACCAGTAGGACAGACTTAGAGGAGTTGTATTAATTTATAGTAGCTTTCATGTACTGCACATTTGTGAGGTACTATGCTACTTTATATGTTATTTATTCCTCACAACACTAAAATCCCGTAAGGTTGTTTTAAAGAAAACTCAGGTAATAAGGCTTGCCTAAGGACACAATGCAGAGTGTAAATTCAAATACATGCTTTTAACCATTACTCTCTCCTGCCTCCATTTAAACTCGGTTTTGAAGAATCTTTCCAGGTTGAGGAGGAAGAGCTGAACTATTTGAGGCAGGACAACAGTATGTCCAAAATAATTTGTCATGTGCTGGAATTTGTGTGTGAATATGTGTGCTTTTCACATGTCTTTAAATTTCTAAAAGATACCATTCTAAGGGAATATATTTAAGTTGTAAACTAAAAGTTTTTTGAAACTAGAGAATTATTTTTGTTTATCTTCATTTATTCCTTCCCTGGTGCTTTTCTTTCTATAAAACCGAGTTTCTGACATATCATTTTGCTTCTAACTGCTTTTAATATTTCCTACAAGGTGGGGCACCTGGGTGGCTCAGTGGGTTAAAGCCTCTGCCTTTGGCTTGGGTCATGATCCCAGGGTCCTGGGATCAAGCCCCGAATTGGGCTCTCTGCTCAGCAGGGATCCTGCTTCCTCCTCTCTCTCTGCCTGCTTCTCTGCCTACTTGTGATCTCTGTCAAATAAATAAAATCTTTAAAAATATATATATATTTCCTACAAGGCATATCTGCTGCACATGAATTATCTCAGTTTTTGTCTGAGAAGGTATTTATCCTTCCGTTTTGAAGGATAATTTCACTGAATATAGAATTCTAAGTTAAAAGGTTGTTTTTTATAACAGTAAATATTTTACTCTCTCCCTTTTTCTGACATCAAATTTTTAAAAAAACTGTGAAGAAGATTCTAATTAAAAGATTAAAAATTGGGGGCGCCTGGGTGGCTCAGTGGGTTAAAACCTCTGCCTTCAGCTCAGGTCATGATCTCAGGGTCCTGGGATTCAGCCCCGCATCAGGCTCTCTGCTTGTCAGGAAGCCTGCTTCCTCCTCTCTCTCTTTCTGCCTGCCTCTCCACCTACTTGTGATCTCTCTCTCTGTCAAATAATAAAACCTTTAAAAAAAAAAAAAAGATTAAAAATTTGTTCTTCCACTTTTCCACATAACTAAAATGCCTGTAGACACATATTCATGATTTCTAAAAATGTTTTACTCCCTAAATAATAAAAATAATTGTTTTAATGCTGAAATAAATTAGGTAGAACTTTTTTTCCTGTTATCTATTACATGTATACATGGATCTCTGTTCCTTTGTCCCCAATTCTTCCCCAGGCTTTGGTCTGTCTTCCTTTTCTCTTCATTGAGTTCCAGTAAAAAGAGACAGACATAACTGTGTATTAAGCGAGAAAGGGAGCCATCTCTCCCAGCAAGCAGATTAATTATCTCAGAATATAAGTCAGACAAAGCAAGATCACCTCCTGGCAGAAATCTCCCATTTCTAGCAGTCCAACTTACTGTCATTAGTTCCCTTTACATTCCAAATTATAAAAAAGTAGGGGCACCTGGGTGACTCAGTGAGTTAAACCTCTGCCTTTGGCTCAGGTCATGATCTAAGGGTCCTGGGATCAAGCCCCACATTGGGTTTCCTGCTCTGTGGGAGGTCTACTTCTCCCTCTCCCACTCCCCCTGCTTGTTCCCTCTCTCTCCATGTCTCTCTCTGTCAAAT